GAGAACTGTTAGGGGAAATAGAAGCAATCTGGCACAGAATTGATCCCTACACTCAGCTAAAAGCCTTCCCTCTGAAAATAAGAGGAAGAACACTTAAAAGTCTTCAGAAAAATTTGGTAATACATTAAGATGTACTAAGATTAAATTTCAAGGAAGAAAAAACATATTGTCAGTTATAGGTATTATGTGAGAAGACATTTGATCTGTAATCTCAGTAAAGTCAAATAGCCAAGACATATAAAAAGTAAAAACATACTAAAGACGAACTGCAAGTCATTAGAGAAGGAAAGGATTTTTTACCACTTGCTTTTGGGACAGATACCAGTAACTGAGGTAGATGCAAGTTATTAAAGAGTTAAATTTGGAAAACTAGAGGAAAAACTGGTAAAGTCATGTAACTGAATATCCAGTTTCTTGGAGATAAAGAACTTTCCAAGCTTAGGATTGATAGAAAAATCACTTTGGATACATAAATATTTTAAGTTTCTGTATTTTAAAACAACATTCAAAAATTGAAAGATGGCATAATACTTGCATCCAAAATGTTTATTTTCCAAAGAGCTCATGTGATGTACTTTTAATAAAGAAATACAGCAAAAATGCTGGAAGAAAAGACCTGAACAACTCACTAAGAGGATGTGTTGGGGAGTTCTGTCACAGTTATAAAAAAAAGAAGAGCTGACTAAAATAAACATGAAGCTGGAACAACTCAAGAGATGACTGGTTTAAAAAGGGGATGGTGATCAGCCATGCTTTTAAAAGTCACGGCATGGGGAGAGGTGATTCAAACCAAGTTCTCAAACGACCTGGACATGTTTTTAAAAGAAAAAAGATGTGGTTAAAAGAAAGAGAAAAAGAAAATTTTGTCACATTGTGATCAAAGCAATGAATATAATAAGTGGATTTTTATTTTTGCTTCCAAATTAGATTTTTTTTTTGGTCAGATTAATATCCAGTGCTGGATATTGTACAGTAAAAATGAAAGTATCATGCTTTTTACATTGTGAGTCAGTGTAAATCAGTATAGGTCTTTAAGAAACTCCATTTTTGTTTCTCATTGATAACTGGATGAATCAAATCCATACATTTGATACAGAAATAAATACATTAATAAATGAAACTTCAAGCTCTGTGAGATAATCCTAAAAGCCTAAGCCTTTAAAAGTAGTTCCTTCAGACACAGCTATTGAATTTAAACACACGCAGAATACATGATTATATTATTTGTATATTAACACATCTTTAAAGAAGGTATGAATTGGAAATCGTAAGAGTAACTAACAGCTTGCCATGTTCTAAAGCTGTAGTAAATAAAGCTGTGATAGACAGTAGACTAACAAGTAACAAAGCAAGATAGACAATATACAGAGTTGGGGCCTTTTGTCCCATGAAAATTTAATATATGATAATGAATGACAAAAGTGGCATTTAAAGTCGTCAGGCAGAATGAGCTGTTCTTTCACTCATGTATTTTATCTATTCAGAAAATGTTTTTCGAAGGCCAAGCACTATCGCAGATGTCAAGGATCCATCAGCAAACCAAGTGGACCACAATTGCCATTATCATGGAGTTTAAGTTGGAGTTGCAGAATCTGAGAAGAAATAGGTTGAAGATGATTCCCTGCCAAGGAGAACAGAATGGAGCAGGAAAGGCGATAGTGTTCACAAGATTCCGCTTGGGGGTGTGGGGGGACAGGATAGCGCTCTTTCCTACTGTATAAAGAACTGCCACAAGGCAGTTTGTTAAAAAACAAGCGACCAAACAGAAAATTTGACAAATTGTTGTTTTGATAGCTATTCTGCATTCATAAAAGAGGATATAGAGGTCTTCAGTACATCTCTAAGACCTTTTGAGTAGTGAAAATGCAAAATCAGAAGTGAGATAACACAGTCCTGAGAGCGATACGTTTAATACCAGTTTTTAATTTAATGTCAGTTTTCTGTGAGTTTGGGAAAGATGGCTGCTTGCATGTGTTGCAGCTGTAACTGCATAGTGGTGATTTGTTTTGAAGGACAGTGGAAGAGTAGCTCTTCAAATGAGAAAGGTGCACGTACTACTGGCCAGCAGTTCTCCTTGGTGTCTCCCACGGGAACCCAGGAGTGTGCGCTCAAGAAGGTCTGGTAATGCAGCATGGCTTGTAATCTGGAAAATCTGAGAACTCCCTAGTTGTGCTTTAGTTCAAATGTTGTGTCCATACTGTGGAGCCTTGTAGGGCTACGCAGATCTTCAGGGCTTATTACTGAAACTAAGAGGAAAATTACAAGCAGTATGTGTACGCACCGGTGGTAATAATTACCACCGAACTTCACAGCTCTCATCACTGAGAAAGCTGTTTAGGGTTGTGGTTTCAGAGAAGTTTCTAGCTTCAGCCTTATCTGTAACATTTTTATTATTTTTTTCAAGAGATGGTATTGTTGTAGCCACACTTTCAGGAAACCAACTCACTCAGAAGGACAATGCAGATAGTGGAGTGCAGTTTATTACACCAGTGGGCCCAAGGCAGAGTCTCCTCTTAGCCAAGGACCCCGACCAGTTTTTGTAAAAACCTTATATACCCTAAATGTATGTGCTCAAACCCACCTCCCCAAATTCTCTGAAACAAGCCTGAACAAAGGAAAAGAAAGATACAATCAAAGTTAACCCATGATTCGTATGCCTTAAGCCTAGGTAGTTAACAGTGGACAATTACCAATAGACCTGTGGTCATACGCCAATAAGCATGATAGAATTTATGATTTTATTTGGTTACACAGATAATTAGGGTATTCTTTTAGGAGACGGAGAGTCTAGGTACAAGCCCTGCGGCTCTTCCGGGGACCTGGTTTTCCAGTTGGTATGTTGTTTGCATAGATACTGGGCATATAGTGCAAAGTCCACAGTCTGACCCAAGATGGAGTCCTGCTTTCGAGATAGAGCCTGTTCTGTCTGTTTCCTCCTTCAGTATGTTTATTTTTACGTGTATACATAAAAATGACCAAAACAATTCTCCCCATTAACCTCAGCTCAAGTGGCATTTCCCCTCTCCCGATGCATATTGTGTATTTTATCAGTTATCACATATCTAGCCCTTGGCAAGTGCTCCTATACACAAGGTTGTTTTTCCTAATGCCCTCACTTACCTACTATACTATAAATTTAAATTGCAGGTCCTTTTGGCAACCTCAGACTAGTCCTTTTATTTTAAGTATAATGTCAACAGAGAAGACTTTCCTTCATAGAAATTTATCATCATCATGAATCTTGTATTCTTTGGATAGTGTTTCTGTGTTTTTTATATTTGTGAATCAGATCCATAGTAAATCAAAGTTTCATTTCTAAATTCACTTAAATTTTAAATTATTTATTAGAGACAAAATATATTTTAAACATTCAGTCCTGGGAATTATTCATATCATTGTATTTTTCTTTATAGGTCGATTGTATGCAATGCAAACTGGAATGAAGATTGATAGTAAAACTCCTGAATGTCGTAAATTTCTATCAAGGCTAATGGATCAGTTAGAAGCTGTAAGTTGAACACTGAACATTTTTCTGGTTGATGTTTATAATACCATTTTATTTCATGTGTGTGTGTGTGTTATTGTAGCTCTTACTGTTGGTGTCCATCAGCAGTGTTACTATAGCTGAGGAAAAATTAGACAGTTTTTTTTTACATTTACATTATACTGCTTAGGGAGTTGTAAGTAAAAGTCGGTTTCAGTGTCTTTGTTTATGCATTATTTCTTGTTCCAGGTTACTGTAGACGACCTTTGAAGTAACGAATCGTTTCTAACCTTCCTTCATGTACTCACATGGATGATTGATTTAGAAATTCTTAAATAGCTCTACAATAATGAATTGGGGGACCTCCCTGGCAGTCAAGTGGTTAAGACTCTGCTCTTCTACTGCATGGCGGGTGGGTTTGCCCTGGGGAGGGAACTGAAATCCCACATGCCACAAGGCACAGCCAAAAAAAAGAAAAGAAATGGGCTATTTATTTAGTGAAAAGAACAACGAGGCAAGTTTGCTATTGTCTCTTCCTCCCACTCTTAGTCCTGTAACAGGATACTCGTATGGCCCAGGCATCCTCTGCTGACAGAAATGTGGTAGGTGACTAGCGAATCATCCTGAACTATGATGTAACATCACAGATTGTGTGGAAGCACCAATCTAGGGAAAACTGAATGGATTTGATTGGGTATCAATATATCAGGAAGGCAATGCTAAACTATAGTAACCTCACTTGGTAATAGGGGCTCCACCCTGTGCCTCCCAGTTTCTTTTTTAACAGTGTCAAGGTCTGCTCATTAGTTCATCTCCTCCCTGGGTTGGAGGAGGGCATAGCAACCCACTCCAATATTCTTGCCTGGAGAATCCTTTGGACAGGGGAGCCTGGCGGGCTACAGTTCATGGGGTCACAAAGAGTCAGACATGACTGAGTGACTAACAAGAGAATTAGAAACCTAAATATTTATTTGACCAGTTGCATTATTTTGTTTAGAGAAACAAAACTTAAAACTTATATTAAAAATCAAAACACTTATACCAGTCAGTCCAGAGCCTTTTATAAATGTTGAAAGTTATTCAGATCAAAGTCTTGGTTGTATGAAGCAGCCACGGATAAGAGTGTTCTCTCTAACCTTGTATGGGTGTCTGACCTTCTGAGCCGGAACCCTGTCATCTTATGCTGTTATCCACCCAAGGTAGGCCTGGTGGCACCACTGATGACCACTCAGCTGCCCTTGGAGCCTGTCTGGCCTTCTGCTTCTAATGCTGCTTCTGTGAATGCAGGAAAAGTTTGAGTACTCTTTTGGAGAGTGAGGTTAGGAGGTGGACGAATGTGTCTGACAGGTAGCAATACTTTGTAAAATGCCATCTGTTACAGACATTAATATAGAATAAACCTCTTAATTTTACAGCTTAACAATAATAGGTGAAATAACAATAGCTTATGGATAAGACAAAACGTAAATGGTTCTTTATAATACACAAAATGTAAAATCACATTTATAAAGGGACTTACCAGGAATTTTTTATTATCTGCATTAAATAACAAGGAAGTTTATTCCATAGTGAGAATGTATCTACTTGTGTTATAATGTTTATATTTATAGTTGGAAAACTTCAGGTATATTATGTTTTTGCTGCCAGATAGTTTATGTTGAGGATGAGATTAAATGGCATACTCCCACTAAATTTTTCCAGAAATAAATTGCCTTTCCAATTAAATTATTTCACAGTGTGGATACAGTAAACTAGTGTTACACGTGGGGCTTTTTTTTTCTGTTTTTGTTCAGGGTAAGGATGCCCAGATGTCCTTAAATTCCAATACTCAGTCTCCTCTGGGCCTTAATTATGAGAATATTGACTTTGCCAATTTTATGAAAAATTCTGTGGCTTTTTCTAAATTTAATTCTTTACTTTATAATATTCTTTGAAAACAATTTTTAAATAATACTGTGATACTCAGATCTAATATTCTGGAAGGTCACTTTATTCCAATATGACAGTGTCAGTAAAATGTAGGAATTTAATTTGTTTTTAAAATACTTTTAAGTTTTTCTGTGTGTAGGGAAGGGATGTACTGACTGGAAATTTACATGGGTGTAAATTGTGTTGATTTGAGGTGTGTATTTGGCTAAATTTAACAGTGTGCTCTGAGAGATACTTTTTAGGATATAATGATCCTTCTCATTGTATTTTTCTAGATTTGATAGGAGATACTGAAATAGGAGTAAATTTAAAATTTAAATTATATGGCTAGGAAAGAATTTCTTAACTCCATCTTTCTTAGCATATTTGAAATATTTGTCTGATGCTTTACATAGTTGGGCATGTTCTCTTTTTTTTGCTTTTTATTATTTTGATATTTGGGCTCCCCAGGTGGCTCAATGGTAAAGAACCCACCTGCCAGTGCAGGAGACACAGGAGATGCAGGTTTGATCCCTCTGTCAGGAAGATCCCCTGGAGGAGGAAATAGCAACACACTCCAGTATTCTTGCCTGGAGAATCCCATGGATAGAGGAGCCTGGTGGGCTGTAGTCCATAAGATAGCAGAGAGGCGAACACAACCGAGCATGCTCTCACATGTTTTGACATTTAAAACTAAATTATACTTTCAGGTTATCATGAGTATCTTTCTTCAAGTTTTTTTAAACATTGGATTTGATTATTAGGATTTTTTGTTCTTGGTATACGCTTCTGAGTCCAGAATCATAAGTTCTATATCTCATTTCATTTTAGCTTAAGAAACAGTTGGGTGATAATGAAGCTATTACTCAAGAAATAGTTGGTTCTGCACATTTGGAGAATTATGCTTTGAAAATGTTTTTGTATGCAGATAATGAAGATCGTGCTGGGAGATTTCACAAGTAAGTAAAGAAAGATCAAATAAAAATGACAAATTTTATTACTGTATAACAGGAATTATTCCAGCTTTTTTCTTAAGTTTCAGTCTTCTGAAGTTTTTTCAGAAGTTTCAGTCTTCCTGATTAATGATTTAAGTGGGGGTTTTTTTTTGGAATCTTAGAATAAGTCTGGGTTACAAGAGTGATCCTGACTTTTTAGATAACATGGCTGAAAAACAAGTACCCGGAGCAGATTCATTTTCTCAGTAAATACACTTACTAGCCATTCTTTAGCAGTTAATAAAATCTCAGTTCAGTTCAGTTCAGTCACTCAGTCGTGTCCGACTCTTTGCGACCCCATGAATCTCAGCACGCCAGGCCTCCCTGTCCATCACCAACTCCTAGAGTTTACCCAAACTCATCTCCATCGAGTCGGTGATGCCATCCAGCCATCTCATCCTCTGTCGTCCCCTTCTCCTCCTGCCCCCAATCCCTCCCAGCATCAGGGTCTTTTCCAATGAGTCACCTCTTCGCATGAGGTGGCCAAAGTATTGGAGTTTCAGCTTCAGCATCAGTCCTTCCAATGAACACCCAGGACTGATCTCCTTTAAGATGCTCAGCTTTCTTCACAGTCCAGCTCTCACATCCATACATGACCACTGGAAACACCATAACCTTTTACTGTTAGCCAAAACATCCTGGTTCAGTGATACTGATTTTAAAAATTTCCAATCCCACCGACTCAGATGATTTGTCATTATAGTAAAACTTAAATACAAAGAAATACACGTAGCATAATATCAATTCAGATAGCATTGTCACTACATCGTCTAAAATGAAAAGCATATTGTGAAAACCTTGTTGTACCATATTCACCTGTAATATGTGTTGTCACTTCCTGCTAATACAGCTTACAGAAGGAGCTCCATTGTGTTCCTAAAATCTGATTTTATTGAAAACATGAACTTCAGAGTGCTTTTTAAAACATTGGAAGTTTTCTTCTTGTAGCTACAAGACTAATTCTGCATCTTACATTTTTCATTTAAATTAAATGAACTCTCTTTTCTCTTCCAGAAACATGATCAAGTCCTTCTATACTGCAAGTCTTTTAATAGATGTCATAACAGTGTTTGGAGAACTCACTGATGAAGTGAGTGTATATTCTTTATTGCCTTATTAGCTAGAGATCAGTATTGTTGCTTTTTATTAGTTTTGTTATTGCATTGTTTATTTAGAGCCCTTGTGCATCAGAAATGTAGTAAAAGCAAAACGTGTAATTTTAAATTGTCTACTACATTTTAAAAAGTTAAAAACAAAAGGCGAAATTATTTTTTAACAATAAATGTTCTTTTTTTGTAGTAGATTCTTTAAATCCAGAATGTGTTTAACACTTTTAGTGAGTGCATAGCTACTATATTGATCTCTGAACCCCAGGTTCATAGTTTTATTTTATTGAGTTTTTAAATATTACTGATCCTTGGTGCCGTTAAACTTATTTATTGTTATTTGGTAAGCATTACTGGAGGCAGAAACTTCTTAGGACTGTTGTTTTTTTTTTTTTTCTTTTTTTTTCCTATTTTGTGTCTTGCCAAAAATACTATTGTTAGAGATTTGTTTCTATTGTAAAATGCATATACAACTTGATATTTTTACGAGGTAGTTCCTATCCATTTTATCAGTTTCTTTCTCAGAACCACTCTGAAATAAGTTGAGCACATATTTGTTTTATGTGTGAGCAAATTGAGGCAAAGTGATGAACTTACTGCCATCAGTTCAGTGCTGTTTTCACTGTAGTGGGCTTTACCATTCAAATGGAAAAATTGTTTTCTGAGAGGAGAGAGATTGCTTTAGAAAGAGAAAGAAGAAAAGGGAGTTACAAGTGAGACTTATAGAGGAATGTCTTATTAGTGATTTGAAATCTCTGGAGAGATTGCTTTTTATGAAAAATGATTTTTTTCAAAATGGTTAGCTGTTCAGAGTAAAGTTCCAAACAAAACAATCTATGAGATAGCTTACGTTTTCATAAAACAATATATCAAAACTGTGCAAAATATTCTTTGTTTATATGTAAAATGAAGTGAAGCTCTAGGGTTGATGATCATAAGCTAAGTTTTTGAGTTGGCAGAAATGGGCAGTACAGTTCAAAACTGCTAAATGAGGGACACCTTTTACTGAGTGTGACTTTCCCTTTTATTTCAAAGCATCAAGCGTCCCTGGCCCTTGCCCTCAGAGCATTCTTCCACCAGTCAGATGACTGGAAACCACCAGCAGATATTTCCAAAACCTCTCTAGGATATGGGGCAATGCCCATCAAAGGCCACTTCTCTCAGATTTTCTTGAAATAGGGAAGTACTGAATATAAGAGAAAACTGAGACTTGGAGTGTGAAAATCAGAGACACTTCTCACTTATATTTAAAGGTTCTGTAAATCCACTGTTTGGCTCCATTTCTGCTCCCATCTCCTGTCACTATTTACCTAGATTTTTTTTCCTGTTTAAACTAGTATGCGTTGTTGTTTAGTTGCTCAGTCATGTCCGACTCTTTTGTGACCCCATGGACTGTAGACCAGCAGGCTTCTCTGTCCATGGGATTTTTTTTAGAGAGTACTAGGTGGGTGAAGGAGAAAAAGAGACCTGAAAAGTAAGTCATAAACCAGATTAGACAGATGATAAAAAGACTGGGATCTTCAGTAAGAGGACTTTTTTGAATAAAGAGCTATACTTTGAGCAAAAGAACTAGTTGATTATTACTGTGGAACCTCCTACAAAGTGGGTTGTCCTTGACCTGAGGAATAATAATATGTTTAAACTTAGATTTAAAATTTGAAGTGCAGGTATACCAATCAAAAATAAATTGCCACAAAACTCTTGGAAGTCAAAAGACAAGAAATATGCAAAATAGAGGTGAAAGTTCGAGTTAAGAGAGTAGACAAACTCTCAGGTTAAGAAGATAGTTTTGAAAGAGAATATGGTTAGATAAACATCCTGATAAACACCTGCATGTAAAAGGCTAGAGTAAGAAGTGAATAAAGAAACACAATTAGAGAAGATGATGGAAATGTCAGATGTCAGAAGAGAATGTCATAATGAGGCAAAGTAGCAGATCGGTTTGCCATATCCTTCTGAGTGTCTCTTCTGAGAAGCATCTCCTACTTCTTTCTTGGAGGAGCAGCTTTTGCCCACATATCTCAGAAGCACGCACACAGTTCCATGAAGTTATAACTGTCAACAGTGGGGTACCCAGACAATAGGTAAAGTAACAGATACAGGAAAAAGAACAAAATGTTCATAAATCTTAAGTGAGTAATGGGTATTTTGTTTTGTTTTTGTTTTACTTAAGGGACATATAAATATATCTGTTTAGCATGTACTACATCTGTATTTCAAAAGAAAAAAGAACATAAGTTTACATTTAGGTACTAGAGCCAGACATCCTAGAATGCAAGGTCAAGTGAGCCTTAGGAAGCATCACTACGAACAAAGCTATGAAGGTGATGGAATTCCAGTTGAGCTCTTTCAAATCCTAAAAGATGATGCTGTGAAAGTGCTGCACTCAATATGCCAGCAAATTTGGAAAACTCACCAGTAGCCACAGGACTGGAAAAGGTCAGTTTTTGTTCCAATCCCAAAGAAAGGCAGTGCCAAAGAATGCTCAAACTCCTGCACAATTGCACTCATCTCACACGCTAGCAAGGTAGTGCTCAAAATTCTCCATACCAGCCTTCAATACTATATAAACCGTGAACTTCCAGATGTTCAAGCTGGATTTAGAAAAGGCAGAGGAACCAGAGGTCAAATTGCCAACATCCTTTGGATCATCAAAAAATCAAGGGAGTTCCAGAAAAACATCTACTTCTGCTTTATTGACTATGCCAAAGGCTTTGACTCTGTGGATCACAGTAAACTGTGAAAAATTCTGAAGGAGATGGGAATACTACACCACCTGACCTGCCTCCTGAGAAATCTGTATGCAGGGCAAGAAGCAACAGTTAGAACCGGACATGGAACAACAGAGTGGTTCCAAATCAGAAGAAGAGTATGTCAAGACTGTATATTGTCAACCTGCTTATTTAACTTATATGCAGAGTACATCGTGAGAAATGCCAGGCTGGATGAAGGATAAGCTGGCATCAAAGATTGCCGGGAGAAATATCAATAACCTCAGATAATGCAGATGACACAACCCTAATGGCAGAAAATGAAGAACTAAAGAGCCGCTTGATGAAAGTGAAAGGGGAGATGAAAAGTTGGCTTAAAACTCAATATTCAGTAAACTAGATCATGGCATCTGGTCCCATCACTTCATGGCAAAATAGATGGGGAAACAGTGGAAATATTGAGAGACTTTGTGGGGGGGGGGACCTCCAAAATCACTGCAGATGGTGACTGCAGCCATGAAATTAAAAGATGCTTACTCCTTGGAAGGAAAGTTATGACCAACCTAGACAGCATATTAAAAAGCAGAGACATTGCTTTGCCAACAAAGGTCCATCTAGTTAAAGCTATGGTTTTTCTAGTAGTCATGTATGGATATGAGAGTTGGACTCTAAAGAAAGCTGAGCACTGAAAAACTGATGCTTTTGAACTGTGGTGTTGGAGAAGACTCTTGAGAGTCCCTTGGACAGCAGGGAGATCCATGCAGTCCATCCTAAAGGAAATCACTCCTGAATATTCATTGGAAGGACTGATATTGAAGCTGAAACTCCAATACTTTGGCCACCTGTTGTGAAGAACTGACTCACCTGAAAAGACCCTGATGCTGGGAAAGACTGAAGGCAGGAAGAGAAGGGGATTAAAGAGGATGAGGTGGTTGGATGACATCACTGACTCAATGGACATGAATTTGAACAAGCTCCAGGAGTTGGTGATGGACAGGGAAGCCTGGTGTGCTACAATCCATGGGGTCGCAAAGAATCTGACAACACTGAGCATCTGAACTGAACTGAAGAACCCTGAATAGGGAACAGCTTCCTTAGTTACTTGAACATAGTAGCTAAAGCCAAGACTACCTAATAGGACAAATGATAGGACTTCAAGAGGAGTTGGTGGAGATTTGTTTAAATACTGAGGATACTGAAGAATATATGTAGTATAAGCATGAAATACATAATTTTTTTTGCCTTGCATATGCACTGAAGTAGGAAATCAACATCTGTTTTGGTGGTTAAAGGATCAAGAAATCAGGAGGATCCGAAATCAGGTCTGAAATAGTATGGAGAAAATTAGGCATTGTAGGGACGGCATGGAAAATAAGTCCCTGAAGCTACTTTATTGGGCTGAGATTTATTTTTTGGGTCTTCATGTAAAAAAAATCCTGCATTTTAAATTAGAAAAGGAATGTACACACAATTAATATGTAGTATAAGTAGGTCATTTTCACTGCCATACATATGTTTGTTACAGCATGCGAAATTTGTGTATCCAGTGAAAGTTGTATATATCAAAAATTATAATTTGTTTGGCATACAGTACTGACATTTTTCATATCCTATTATTACACAGCGATCTTATCCTTACATGACTAGTAAATGGGTTTTTGGCCATGATTGAAGGTTGACTAAATAAAGGCAACCTACAAGGAAACTAAAATACTGGCAAGGTTGTCCATGCGTCAATAGCATAATCCAGCCAACCAGTTTGATCAGCCTGGTTTCAAATTCTGTTTTCTCTTACTTTTAATGTTGTTTTGTTCCATCATTTTTCATTTCTGGAAATGGCATCTCTATCATTATTACTGAGGAAATAGCTTTTTCAAAATCATGATTTAAAGTGTTATAGTTTTAAACAGTGCTCCACTTTAGCAGCTGCTGCAGAAACAGGTAGTCAGCGGCATTTACTCCCTGTTGTAGGTTCTCATTGTTGTCTGAGGAAATCTGAGGCTTGTATTTATTAACTTATGATTTAAGCACTCACTGCCTAAATCAAGATGCAAATTATTGGAACATTTCTTATTTCAGAATAACTATTAATCACATGAGATTTTTAAAAACTGGGTATAGCTGGTTACTCATAACTGTTGTAACTCATTCCCTTCTTTCAACTTCCACTTCAGTTCATTCTGTACTTTAAAAATACTAGCAGAGACAAAGATAGGAAACAGAAAGGTGAGAAAAGAGTGAGTTTAAGGATTTCAGGTAGGCAGATTTTTTTT